AGAAAATTTCAAAACGTAGTTTGAGAAGACAAAGCATCATAATTAACTATGCAAAGATCATAGAAAACCAAAAGGGAAGAACATGCGCAGCAGATCTGAAAAAAGCTGAAGGGAAAAAATGTAGTCTTGAGGTTTCTATGGGCAAAAAATATTGAATGATGCAAATATTATTTAACATTATCATTAATATGATATGAAAGCAACATTTTGCTGAAGACTATTTGACAACTTTTTCAGCAACCCATCAAGAGGGAGCTTCCAGAAATGCAGTCAGCTTCGGAAGAGGACATGGAATGAGGGCTACCATTGCTGACATCTGATAGATGTTGACTGAATACAGAGAGTACCAGAAAGATGTTTATGCATGCTTCATTGACTACACGAAGATATCTCGTGGTGTGGATCATAGCAAATCGGGATAACATTCCAATGAATGGGAATTCAAGAACACTTCATTGTGCTCGTTCGGAACCTTTACATGGACCAAGTAGTTGGAACAGAACAAGGGGATATTGTATGGTTAAAAAAAATCAGGGGAGGTGTGTGTCAGGGTTGTTTCTTTTTACCATTATTCAGTCAATCTGTATGCTGAATAAATCATCTGAGAAGCTGAAGAGGAACAGCGCATGAGGATTGGAGGATTGGAGCTGTGAGACGCCACAAAGTTCCTTCCTTGCTGAAAGGGAAGCAGACTGGAGATATGAATAGAGATCTAAGATTACATCTCACCACAGAGTAAGCTACAATCCTCACAACTTGACCAATTAGCAACCACAGGACAAACATTAAAAAGAAGAAGTAATCAGGAATTTAATTTTCCCTGGATCCATAATCAATCCTCATGGAAACTAGTCAAGAAACCAAAAGTTGTGTTGGGCAAGTCTGTTGCAAAAGGCCCCTTGAAGGTGTTAAAAAGCAAAGATGTGACTTTCAGGACTAAAGTGCTCCTGACCTAAGCCAAGGTATTTTTAATCACTTTGTATGCATGTGGAAGCCAGACAATGAATAATGAAGACCAAAAAATAATTGATGCATTTGAAACATGGTGTTGGCAAAGAATATTGAAAGTACCGGGAACTGCCAAAAGAATAAACAAACTTATCTTGATAGCGGTGCAGCCTGAGAGGCAAGGATGGTGAGACTTGGTCTCACCTACTTGGGACATGTCAGGAGAGACCAGTCCCTAGAGAAGGACATCATGCTAATAGTAGAAGGCCATGAAAAAGAGGAAGAACATCCATGAGAAGGATTCAAAAAAGGACCCCACCAGAGCAATAGTGAGGAGGGTGCAGGACCGGGCAGTGCTTCCTTCTGTTGTACATAGGGTCTCCGTGTTTTAGCGCCAACTCCAGGTTACCTAACAACAACAGTCGGTTCTATTTTTACATATGATACTAAAGAGAGGTCAAAGGACTAGTATACAAATATAAGTAGTAATTCTATTCTAATTTGCCTCCAAATATCCATCAACAGGAGATAAAACAAATGTAGTCATATAATTGAATATTACATTCCTTCTTTCCACTGACATTGAGTTAATTTCAACCCTGTAGGACAGATTAGAACTGCTCTTTGGCATTCTGAGACTATAAGTCTTTGCAAGAGCACATAACCTCAGCTTTCTCCCGAAGACAGGCTGGTGCGCTTGAACTGCTGTCCTTGAGGTTAGCAGTCCAACATTTAACCCACGACACTAGTAGGGCTCCTGGGATATTACATAGCAATAATTTTTAAAACTATTGATGTATACAAAAGCATGGGTAATTCTCAAAAATATTATATTCAGTGAAAAATGGCAGACACAAGAGTAAACTTACTATTCTTTCAAGAACAAGCAAAATTAATCTATGGTGGTAGAAGTCAATATAGTCATCTGGGATGGAGACTATTGATAGGAAGGGGTATGAGAAACTCTCTCATGCTAAAAATGTTTTATTTCAATTGGTGGTAGTTACATACGCTACCTGTTGAGGAAGTATGCATTTCACTATGGTGGTGTGGTTAAGTGCTGGCTTGCTAACTGCAAGGTCAGCGGTTTCAAACCACCAGCCGCTCGCTCGCTCAGCAGGAGAAAGATGATTCTTTTTACCCTTCTAAAGATGTGGTCTCAGAAACCCACAGGCGCTTTCTGCCCTATCTTATAGGCTAGCTCTAAGTAGGAATTAATTTTATGGCAGTGAGCATGGCTTGAGAGAAATATGCTTCAAAGGAAGGGAGATGAAAATTGAAATTACAAATTACCTAGAGCATTTTGAGAGAACACTTACTATGAAACCCTAATGGGTGCAGCTAAAGCATACTAGTCATTAACATGTTAAACAACTTATTAATGTTGTTGTTGAGAATGCAGACAGAGCATACAATTTAACAATTTCTCCTTTTCAGTTCAGTGAACATTTAGCGCAGTCTTTGAATTGTGCGACCATTCCTACCCTTCTTCTTTGAGTGGTTCCTCTCCCATTAACATAAACTCACTGCCCTCGAAGGTTCCTGTCAAATATTTCAAGTTGCCTTTCTCAATTTGATCCTCTGCAGGTAGATTTTTTTTTTACAGGTAGATTTTAAAAGAACATAATGCTTAAGGCAGACATTCGTTACTAGTTAAGCTAAACTACGGTTTGGTTTTAAGAAAGCTACAGGAGATAATTTTGGTTTAAGATCTAAAGATTATTTTTAGGGCAGTGGTTTCAGCAGTTTATTTGGCTACCATGGCTCCAGAAAGGTTGGAGTCTGTAAGAATTTGAAATTGTTTTGCATTTTCCCCTTTGATCAAGGTTATTCTATAAACTCTTTGATCAAAATGTTCAATAATAATAGCAGGACACCATCTAGTTCTTCTGATCTCATGGCAAAGGAGGCAACTGTTCATGGAAGCAATTAGACATACCTCCTATCTTCTCATATTTCTGACTCTCTTACTCTCTTGCTTCAGGTAAATAGAAACCAACTGTTTTCAGGCCTTAGGTACTACAGAATGCACTAGGAAGTAGACCAGAAGTACTAAACTAGTTATTCGGCCAGTTAACTGGGATGTCCCATAAAACCCTGGCCCTAAACCTTCAAACCAAGAGGTGTTTTGCTGCATAAGCAGCCCACCAGGTTCCTCTTTTCTTTTTTTGTCTTGGTTGTAAATATACCTACGACACAACTTTTGCTAATTCAACTTTTTACAGGTGTACAACTTATTGACAGCCATTATATTAATGGGATAACAGCCCTACCTTTAATCTGTTTGATTTTTCCATCCCTATAAACCAAAACTCTGTACCCCATAAGCAATACCTCCTCTTCCCCCTCCCTCCGCCCCTTGTAACCACTAATAAACTTTGATCAATAAACATTTGCTTATTCTTTTCTTAAAAGCGAGGTCATAAAAAAAATACATGATGTCATTCATTACACTGAATGCTTTCAATTTACTCCATTTGTGAATGATTTAGCACGTCTTCAAGCCCCATCCTATTGCAGATAGGACTACAATCGATCATTAATATTTTAATATTTCAAAAATACTGAAATCAAAGTACGTAATTTAAATAAATAAGAGGAACAAAAGAGGGATATGATAAAGCTGAATTCAAAGTAGAAAAAAGTAGAAAGGCATCAAATTGAATGTTATTTCTTCCTTTTTTCTTTTTCAGTTTTTTGCTATTTCTTTATAGATAGGAATAAGATAAAAAATTAGTAGGTTCAGGAAACAGCTCAATTCCATAATGATTCTCGCGGTTTTTGTCTGCAAACTTTCAGCAAAACCTTAACGAAGGGGATTTGGTGAAGGGTTCGTTTAACTAAAACCAACGAACCAAAAATATCTTGTTAGCAACTCATATCCTCAAGAAAACTGTTTTGTAATCTAGCAAGAGAAACCAATGTGGAGATCTACGATGTCGGCTGCTGTTTATCCAGCAGGTACCCTGTTTCCCTGAAAATAAGACAGTGTCTTATATTAATTTTTGCTCCCAAAGATACGCTAGGTCTTATTTTTCAAGGGATGTCTTATTTTTCCATGAAGTATATGGTACACATTTATTGTTTAATTAAAAGAGACTTCGCACTTTGTGTTTGCTCCGGCTGCGTTGTGGCCAACACCGCTGCTACGGTCCAGAGTCACGGTAGCTTAGGGGGGGCCTTATTTTTGGGGAGGTCTTATTTTCGGGGGGGTGCCTTATCGTTCAGCAAGAGGCAAAGCTGAAAGTAGGTCTTATTTTCGGGGAAACACGGTAGGTGCATGCATCTGGAAGATGAAGTTCTTCCAAGCTGAGAATTCAGGTATGACCCAGGGCTGCCCAGGTCAGGAAAGGGCAGACTCGGGCTTGGCAGGATCAAAGAGGTCCTGGGGATCCTGGAGCTGAGGCCGGCAGAGCAGGCCCCTTAGGCTCGGAGCTGGGCCATCACCTGATGGTCAAGGGCACGCGCGCAGGTGTCGGGGGCGGGCCTCCCTCCAGCGGGCGGGCGGCCGGGCTGCAGCC